TTTACGGAGCGTTGATGGCTTTCTCCACCCGAATGGAGAGGCGAGGAGGGGTTTAACATTGCTACATTGCGCTGATGAGAGCAATAGAGGTACAGAAAGAGAGAGAGAGAGAAGTGTGTTGGAGAGATCATCAGCTCTTTGTAGCACATTAAAAGTGGCCCAAAGAAAAAACAAAGTTTTTCGTTCATTTATTAGCGGCATGTGGCAGTTTTTGGTATACCCTTTATGCCAGCAGGGATTGCCGGAAGTCAAGTTTTTTCCATTTCATTCAGCAGACATCTGTATGAATATAGATGTAACTTATCGGAAACAAAACAATACACAGCTGCGAAAATACACTGCGAATGCTGACAATCTGGGTGCAATGTCGGAACCCTCCAGATTGGGAACAAAAGCAGGTTTCTTTCTAAAGTAAACTCAAATTTGATCTAAATCAAAGGACTGTCCACGATCGATCTGCAAGGGTATCCAAAAGTTTCAGCAGCGTTTCGGATAGCGGCCTTCATCTTTCTCTGTCTCTCTCCCTCTTGTTTATGGCTTAATTTGCAAGCAGGCAAAGATAGCAACAAAATAAAAAAGAAAAGAGAACTGACTGCTGCAGAGGCCGAGGGCAAGGCTAATTGACAGTGGGCGTTGCTTATCAATAACTGCATGGAGCGGAAGAACTACTTATTGTAGATAAAGGTCAAGGGTGGCTCAAATTTTCACAGAGTAATCATAAATTTTCGGTAAGTGCTCACTTTTTGCTGATAATCACTAAAATTTCGACAGCAATTTTTGTCGTTTCAGTGGAATTTCTTCTCACAATCTCTTATTTGTTGTTGTTGGTGTACACGATCCCCCAGAGTCACGACCCAAGCATTTCTCTCTGACGGTCACTATTATCATCGTTGTCATCATCATAACACTGAGGGGCAAGAAGTTTGTACGTGGCCCATTGTCATTAGTTTGCCTCAACATTAATTACAGTAAATATCAGTGCCGACCTTAATGCATTTGGTTCCACAGTGCGACAACAACAGTGTGGGCTGATAAAAAAGAAAACAAAAAAACAGACGGGAAAAAAAACGCATTTGCAATGGCCAGCAGCGGCAGGCGATAGGCCAGCGAGAAAACAGAACATTCCAGGGGAGCAAAAAATAAAACCAGAAATAATATTATGATCGATATTCGAACGAGGAGGATACCTCTCAACTTTTTCCTTATTGGAATTTTATCTTCCTTTTTCGCTTGCTAACGGGATCAATTAATCCTCTCCAATATCCAATGGCCCTGTACCCTTTAACCCTATTGTGCTTGTGAGACATTTTCATTCCCCACAAGATTGCATCTTTTCTACTAGTCTGGGAGTTTCATTCATGAATATTCTTCAATTTAGTTTCAATATATTTCATAGTATTTTATTGAATTTTTGGGGGCGTACACAAATCCTACATAAATATGCACATATGTATGTATGTATGTACATACATATGTACATCCTCACGAATAAATGCCTGGGATAGAAATGCCTGAATTGTATTCAGAAAAAGAAGAACTGTTGGAGCCTGGCATCTTTATTGGATACCCGACATCGGACTCCCAATGCCATTCCGAGAACCGGTTTCATTGACATCGGACCTCCAATAAGAATCAAATTCAGGAACATACATATGTATAATACCGAAACGATTTTGCGCCCGGATTAAGCCCCCCAAATGAGGAGCAAGTGCGTCGTGAATGGGGAGAAAAGTATCAACAGTCGGCTTACCTATGGAAAATATCTCTGGTGCGCGTCGCTGTTGGATGGTGATGATGATGCGAGGAGGAGATAGTAGCTGTTGATGCTGCTGCAGGGGTGGAGGAAGAGCAGGGCGTCAGGATTAACTAGTGTGTGTGTATGTGTATGTGGCGAATTAAATTGAACAACAAAATCTGGCACGCACACAACAGAGTGAACAGAGAAAGAGAGATGCTCGAAAATTAAACACGTTTTCCGCAATTCTCACAGGAGAATGGGAGAGAGAGCGTGAGGGGTGGTTGACGATGGGGAGGCGCCCCTTAGAATGTGGGCGACCCGGTTTATTTACACCGACGTATCGCTACCGATTTGCTTATATACTTTATTATGGACCGCGCCTGCCTGCTGCTGCACTTTCTACTACTACTACGTCGACTCTGTGTGCGTGTGCGGCGACCATCAAGTGCACACGTATGCATGTATGTGTTTTACTCTGTCAATGAGCGCGAAATATTTCGTGGCACGGGTACTCACACTTGCACTGCACAAGCACTTTAATTTCCTTTTTTTTTATTAATAATTAATTCATACGCGACACGACATTTCTTCGGCGGCAGCGAAAAAAATCGACAGCACTTTGTTGTTTCATGAAATTTTCGATCTGCAGTGTGCCCGCGGACTACCGAAGAAGTATGCCGCCTGACCCTAGGGAATATACCAAAATATACTATCTCATTTTCAAAATATACCGTAAATATACTGACTTGCACGACAAGATGCGTTTGATATTCCTCGATTTTGATATTCCGTTTAATATTACTAGATAGTTTACCCACTTAGCCCTAAAAAAATAATTTAATCAAATTCATCAAAAAATTGTGTACAAGATTGGCTAGTTTTCAGAAGTCCTTTTTATTGGATTATTTACATATTAAGGTTCAAACAAAAACGGCCAAAGCATAAAACGTAAATGTTGACTAAATGTGACGTCACATGTTGCTGGTCAACCAAGTTTCCTCTATGCGTATGGATTTTTGTATACCTTATTTCCTTTAATTGATGTTAAATTTAATGTTCCAAGCTCCATTGAAATATTAATTATGATTTTATCCTGGATTGACATGTTTTTAACCTCTTAATGAATATATTTGTGTTTTATATACACATTTATTCCAGTTCTGATACCTATTATTGGAACCCGTGAGCTGAAAAACTTTTTTAATATCTTTAGAACAGAGATGGAATAGTTTTTGCATTAATTGGAGCCTGAAAATTCAAACGATATCTCAAGTCCATAATATCAATTTTCCCAAGGTATTCAGACTTGTTGCTCATTCCGTGCTAAAGTTGCACAACATTGCTGCTACTTCATTTCCCCATGCTGCTGAAAATTTTCCATACAAATCAAATGTATCATACGGGAACGCGTATGGAATGACGCAACATGAACTTATTCATACGCGTCCCGTAATTGATTTGTATGGGAAAAATCAGCGCCACCACGAAATGAGGGGAAGCTCCACAAAAACACCTATTCCCACTGAAAGGGCCCTCCACGAGGCAATTTTGAAACCTCCACGAACTGAGAGCGATTTTTGCAAACTCTCCACGAATTGAGAGCGAAAAATGTCAGTATTTTTGGTGCGCTAAATTGAGTTTGGCGGTCAATTTGAAATGTGTCTTAATATTTGGAAAAATAACTTGATTTGTTTTGTCGAGTGACCTCAGAAACCGAGAACCAGTAACCAGTAAATAACACTTTGTTTACATAATATTTACATAAATTCCGTCATTGTTGCTCGTCAAGTTTCCAAGTCGTCAAGTTTCTTCTAATTAAATTTGTTGTTCCAAGCTCCATTGAAACATTTGTATTTCAGTTTTCTTAGATTGAGATGTAGGTAAAAAACCTACATTGTGCATTATTGCATATGGTTTGTGTTTTATAAATACATTTATCCTGGTTCTGATACTTATTATTAGAGCCCGTGAGCTGCAAAATTTCGTTAATATCCTTAAAACAGAGACTGAGTAGATTCTGCATTAATTGAAGCATGAAATTACAAACAATATCTCAAGTCCATTATATCCATTTTCCCAAGGTATTCAGATCTGTTGCACATTTCGTGCCAAAGTTGCAAGACAGTGCTGCTAATTCATTTCCCTATGTGGCCGAATTTTTTTCCCATACAAATCAGATGTATCTTACGGGAACGCGAAGGAACATTGCAACAATGAATCTTCATTCCAAATAATTAGCACAAACCAATGAAAAATGGTTAAATTTTGGTACAGTTTCAGTATTTATTGGTAAAAGGGAACTATTTTCATTTCAAGCCAATTAATTGAGGGAGAAAACTGTCGGTAAATGTCGTGTGTGTCCAAATTTTGACCTAGATAGGATACCTTTTAGCATGTAGAATGTCAACAGCTACAAGCTGGACAGATTCGAAGAATTTCCTGCCTCCACGGACTATTTTTACTATTATTTTAAGCTACTAGTTGCTTAAGTTTTACATGACTTTATATACAATTGTGTGGTTAAAAAATGATCCAAACCAAGCCCATTCTAGCGTTCCTGTTTTTAGAAAACTTTATTTTTGTGATCAGAGAAAGTTATGTATTTGAGATAAGTATATTTATATTTATCTTGGGAGTCCGCCAGATTCCTTTGGCCATATAAATCCACGCCAGACCGACTTGGGCCTCCACTTAGCCATAAAAATAAATTTCTTTTGATAACCAAAAATACTCCGTTACAAAACCGTCAACGTGTTTTACCTACGCGTTTTCAACTTTCAGCCAATCAATTCGTTCGAAATTTTTTGTTAACATTTGGGATGGTTTTCTGGGCAAAGTAAAAAAAAAATGTTCGCGCGAACATGAAACAAGAAAATAGTGCCGAATATTTTTCTTCACAAGTCCGCTGAGTACCAAAAAAATATCCATTGATAATTTTTAAAATCATATCATTAATAATAACGATAAAGAAGATTCATTGTTGCGACGTTCCATACTACGCGTTCCCGTAAGATACATGTCACTCACACCACGAAAAAGAGGGGAAAGTCACCACTGATAGCTAATTTTGAAAAACCACCACGATTTGGGAGCGAATAATATCGATATTTTTGTACGATAAATGGGATTTTGGCGGTTATTTTGAAGAGTCTTAAATATACCTTAAAAAATAGATACTAGATTATAATATTCGTGCGTAAATTGAAATAATCGTTCACTGTTGATGGGCGGATATTCATTGATTTTAAAATTCAGTTTCATGTTACCAGCCAGCTAGGACCCTCAGCACTGAACATATAATTTTATCCGATTGATCAATCAATATTCCATAACACTGGCTAGTTTTCAGGACTCCTATATATTAGACTGTTTACGAAATGAGGTTGAAACAAAAAATGTCAACTCGTTAACTACACATTTGCCACCTATCAGCAACATATTTACAGAGCATTTCTTCTATTCTCTTGTCTATATCCTCTAATTAATGTTATTATTAATAACTTCTTCTTAGACGTGTTTTACGGTTCCGAAAATCTTCTTCTTCCACATATTTGATTTTCATTCAATCCGCGAAATATCTTCTTTTTGTTTTCCATATTTCTATCCGTCTCAATTGCGAAACAAAGAAAAACAAAAAAAAACACAGATTGACGAAAACATCATCACGGTGGAGATATAATGTGCCAGTCCTTTAGTTGACCATCCAGTGAGGACTTTCCTTTTCTATATCCACCTACATTCACCACAGATATGTGGCCCTAATACTGGCCCCATCTTCTGCACGTAGACGGCCAGCTTCAGGGCGTCCTTGTTACCTCCCTCGCGTTTGCAGCACTCATCAGGTGTGGCAGCTCGAAGATCATCAGCAAGCTGGGCGTTCTTTTGCAGCGTTATGGAATTGAGGCGGCGTTGCTCGTTCACCTCGGCAGATTCCTTCAGGAACTGTCAGCTTTCCAATCAGTGTGTCACCTGCTCCTCCGTCTTCAGGAATTCGTTGAATATCGATTGCGGGAAAGTGAAAACTACTTTGCGTACAGTGCATTTTATTCGTATTCAAGGGTACAAAAATTGTGTGGCAGGCGGAGATGGCTACGACCACAGTAATTTCATTTCAATCATTACAAATATATTTAAAGAGTATTTAGAACTCAATGAATTGATCATCACGGTCTCTGTCTCAGCTGTTACCCAGTCACAGTGCTACGCAAGGTACTTGGCCTGCAATGACCAATTTGCATTCCCCCCCCCACTTGAAATAAATTGTATCCGAATGTAGCGAACGGTACGCGCCGTAAAGCGGGTTTCATTCGGAGGTTCATCGTAGCAGCTATATGGTCCCGCAGAATCCCAGTGGATCTGGTCGCATGACACATCCACGGTACATCTACAGTTGTATGAAATATTTACCATTTTTATATAGTTGATTTTGTAAAATTGTCCCAGCTGGATGACTCGCTCATTTCCGTTGTCAGTGATACGGCGCGCATGAAACTTTTCGGATGCCACATCTTCCCCCGGTAACATGACGGCTCGGTGGGGCAGATTGATTCCGGTGTCTATTTGATCAATGGCGTCGAAAATTTGATCCCGTTCGAATATGCCAGAGGGACGCACCACATGCAGCAGTTCATGGATACTCATCAGCGGGAGACGTACGAGGGATAACAGCGTCTGGATGTCCTCGCTCGGATTGTTGTCCCTCCATTTGCATACAGACCGAAAGATTTCCACTTCAGGAACACAGAAATTGTCTCGTCGCAAGAATTCCTCAAATGACTCCTTGGTCAGCATTTTGATGGAGTCGTGCTTAAGTAGATCGACCACATTGTTGCCCATAAACTTGAGGCATTCTTTGGTCAGCTGGTCCAGATCGTATCGGCGCGCTGCATTCAGGATCACGCACACGTTGCTGACGGCAATACTCTTCTGGAGATGATTGGTTATAGCCCTTTCAACGTACTCCAAGCCGTAAAGATGCGCCAGATTGAGCACATCGATTATCTTATCCACATCCAGTAAGGAAAGGGGTAACTTGCCCGAGTAAAGGTACTCGAGGATTATCTTGAAAGCCTCCAGCGGCACCTCCAGCCGAATTTCTCGCTCCTTCGACTCAGCCAGGTCCCCATATAGCATGGCGCGGAAATACTCACTGCGCGCCGCCAGAACAAGACGGTGGGCCGAAAGCCGCTGATCCTCCACCAAGAACACCACGTCCGAGTAGAGCTCGTTCATGCAGAGACGGCCCATGTCCGATGCTAAGCCGCGAATGTCGTCGGTATTGTTTTTCTGGGTGCTCATTTTCCGGATTTCTGAGTGGTGAATGGAGAATGTCTCTACATTTGTATTATTTACGTTATTTAAACTGAATTTATGTTGGTTTCTTCTCACCAGATCACCACAATCTGCGTACAAAAGATCGGTGGGAAATTATATTATTTTCGCATCCGCTTACTTGGTTGAGTACATCGTCGAAGAATTTGAGAATGTATGGATGGTCATAGCAGCAGCATTATATATTATATATTATATTTATTTATCAACATATAAAATGATTATTTTGGTATTAATACGGTCTGCTAAATGGTCACACTACTGCTTTCTTGCCTGTGTAGTTGTCATGTATAAAATACATGGATATGTAGGCTGTATCTTTTCAATGTAGAGCAGCCACATTTTAAGAACAAAAGTTTGCTGTTTTTGTGGTATAACATGACAAAATAACAAAATTTAAAACAAACTAACTTGCAAAATAGCCAATTTATGTTTTTATTAATAAATTTCGGCTAAATATATGTTATAAATATCCAGATTTCCGGGAAAACTAATGCTAAATTTGCACGCCAACCGAACTTTAAAACTAGCCAGAACTGGCTATAAAATAGCTAATTTGGCAACAGTGTCTACAAGAAAAACGAACGTGTCGTGTCCCAACAGAAAGTTCTTCGCTCTCGCTCTAAAAAATCATAAATCATGGCCGAATTACAGGTAAAATTTCGCTTTTATATTGACTAATGTAACACCTATGCTAAATTCCTCTATATTGATGCAGGAATTCAATAAAGCTGCCGAAGATGTCAAGAATCTGAATACCACGCCCGCGGATAATGACCTTTTGGAACTCTACAGTCTGTTCAAGCAGGCCACAGTGGGCGATTGCAATACTGGTGTGTGAGAGAGAACGGACAGTTGTTTGATAAAATCAATTAATTATTAATGCAATTTACGGCTTCCAATACTCCAGACAAGCCCGGTTTCCTGGACTTTAAGGGTAAGGCCAAGTGGGAGGCCTGGAATGGACGCAAAGGAATGAGCAATGCCGATGCGCAGGGCGCGTATATAGCCAAAGTTCAGGGATTGATTGCTTCCGTCGGACTCAAGTCTTAGGAAGGTATACGACCTACATCGTATATTATACAATATGATATTATTATATGTATGCATTTTTGGAATCTCACATGTCGTCAAACGCACAAGTCTTGAGTCTTTTCCGCACAACAAATATACTCACACACATTAAAATGTATATTTAATTTGTCATTTTGCTGGGAATGCATATATACAACCTACCATATGCATACTGTATACTGGTTTAGGACTGCTGCTGTTCGACATCGGGCGAGGCGGCACTGTTCTGGGACTTGCGCTGCCTCTCGTACACCTCGCGCTGCAGCTCGCGTAGGTTCAGTTCCAGCGTTTCCACCACCTCGAAGTTCATGTCCTGCCGCGCCTGCTTAATGTAGCCCTTTATAATATTGATTTGTTCAATCAGGGGATCGTCCAGGCTGGACTTTGAGGTGGAGGTGGAAGCTTGTGGGGCAGACCAGTTGTTAATGGATTGCAGATCCGACTGGAAGCAATACAATTTGGTAGAGGAATATAGGTGGGTATACCTGTAAAACTCACCCCCTGAGCAAAGGTGCCGCTTTCCAGACCCCCGCCCGACTGTATGGTTGTGGCGCCCAGGCCATAACGCTCATACGCCTCCATGGCCATCCGCTGTTCGGTGAGGATGCGCTGCTCCGTCTCCATGCGCTTGCGTTCTTGTATCCGCTGGATATGCGCCTCATCCGGCAGTGGTGGCAGCGACAGCATCCGCTCCTTTATGGCCTGGATGCAGCTCAAGCGAATGGCCTTCTTTAGCGACTCCTCCCGACTGCCGGGCTCACAGTAGATGGCCAGAATGCGCTTACTCCGCATATCCATGGCTTCGGCCACCTGGCCTATTTTGCCACGCAAGGCGCTGGCATCTGTAATGGTAAATATGCTCTCTCCCTCGTGCAGGCTGTTGATAATCTTTAGATACATGTCCAGATCTGGGTTGACATCCTTTTGCAGCTGCCGGATCTGCTCATAGACCTGCACGAACAGTGGGCGGCAAGTGCGGCTCTCGTGCATGTCCTGGCGGGTGTCGAGCAGCCACAGGCAATGCTCGCAGAGGCGTATGGCACGGTCACCCTGATGCATTTGCTGCAATGGCTCGCTCCGACTGGTCGAGAGGCTGGCCAATTGCACTGCAAATTAAGAATTAAGAATAGGGGAATCATCAAGTAGACCATTTCAAAGAGTTTTCACACACTTACTGGCATTCTCTAGGGCTAGGAACTTGGAGCAATCATTGCACATAATCCCGCCACAGAGACGACAGTGATGCTGCCTGCGGGCTATGTGGAAACTCTTGGCGCAGCTGGGGCACAGCTTCACCGAAGTGCCATCCAGCCAGGCCACCGTCTGTTGTTCGTGCTGCTTGCGCTGCACCGAATCCGAGGGCAAATCCTTCAGCAGCCGATGTAGTCGTATTATCAGCTTGTTCGTCTCACTCGCGTAGCGTTCCAGGCGAGGATTGCGCACAGATTGAAAGTACTCAAAGTGCGAACACTCGGCGCCAACCTGCTGCTTGGACATGTAGTTAAAGACATTGAAACGCGAGCGAGCATTGCTCAGCACCCGCTGGTCCGCGCCGTTTCCATTGGCATTCGACGAGCCGCCGGCCGCCATCGAAGACGAGAAGGAGCCCGCTGCTGCACCGCTACGTTCATCTTCAAAGTTGTTGAGGATTTTCTTCTTGGCCTTTACAAATATATTGAAAACAGACTTGAGGGTATCCTCCTCCTCGGCATGCTGCCGCGCAAAGTGATCCGTGAGCACGTCAATGGACTTGAGATCTGCGCGGCAAATGGGGCAGAGGAAGCCCTCTAAGATCTCCCCACTGGCGGCACTCTGATCCTCATCGCTGTCAAAGGGATTACTAGACATATTTCGGCGATGCGATGAGTAAGCACTAGTTTTTGGGTTGTTTTTTTTTGGTGGGTGTGTTTGTTGTCTTGTGCTTTGCGCCGAGCCATCCACTAGATTTGGAACACTGCCATGACTAGCTTTTGTTTGGCGGCCACATCCAGGTAAAGTCGAGCACTCAAATCACGTGGCTGCAGTCCTAGAAACGGAATTGTGTTCAAGCCGTTGGATATCAGTGGAAATGCGTGCGAATATTAGTTTTTCTGTTTCTTTTTCATAAAATCAGCTGGACTTATCGATAAAATATATATTACATGGTAACTACACGGTAACTACACATTGGCTACATGTCTAACTATTCCTGTAAAATATTCGAATGAAAAAACCAAAGTGGCAGTGGAGTCAATTGTAGTATGTTAATTTGTTAATAAACACTCATCCACGGTATATTTAGTCCTTACGAGGCCCTTAAAGTAAGCCTGGCCATGACCAAGTCGAAACAGAGCACTCAAAACGCTCACCGAACTAAATATATCCTATAAATAAATGAATTGGCTAAAACTCCATTTTATTTGATTGTTTACAAAATAAGGTTCAAACAAAAACGGCCAAAGCATAAAACGTAAGTGTGTACTCCGGTCCCATTCCGTCATTTTAGTTTTAGTTTCAATTTAGTTTCTGCTATGAGTATGGAAATTTGTATACCCTAATTCCTTTAATTAATGTTAAATTTGTTGTTCCAAGCTGCATTGAAACATTAATAATGATTTTGTCCCAGATTGACATGTTATTTACCTATTTATTTATTTGATTTTAAGTTTTGTATGTACATTTATCCCGGTCCGATACCTATTATTGGTACCCATACACTGCAAAATCTCGTTAATATCTTTAAAACAGAGACTGAGTACTTTCTGCATTCATTCGAGCCTGAGTTCAGAAACATTACCTCTATTATATAATAGGTATTCAAATTTGTTGTTCATTTCGTGCATAGAATCACCTTAAGGCGGCAGCCATATCTGAAAGCCGCTGCCAGTGCTGCCAACTTTTCATCATGAAAAAAGCCGTTTCTACTTGGACAAGAGACAAAATAAAGCTGAGTAATTCCCGAAAAAACGTAATATATGGGCTTAACAATTCGTCTAGTAGCTTTATACTTAATAGTGTTTTTACAGTATTAACTCCATTAACTCATCATACCTTATGCACAGAATGCTCTTGGTCGTGTCGGGTTCACTGAATTCCTTAATTTTGACTTAGCCACAAACCTGCTAAATTGCCGCGCTTGACCACGGCAATGATACAATTTTAAGGGGAAACAGCTGAAGCTCAAGAAATTTAGCAAAGTTTTCCCGCAGTTTGCTTTAAAAACAGCCAGATTATATGGGAAAAAAAGCGGAATCGGCACCACTGCCGCACGCACGCATCTCGAAAAGCAAGAAGCAGACGCGTTGCAAGTATTGCCTGCCCTGCCTGGAAGTTTTCACGGGCATATATTCAGCTGCCAGCCTACGCCTTTTAAGCCAAAACATTTTGCTTTTTCGACACCTATTAGCCTTGAGTTGAGGCAGCCGCACATATCTATATCGTTGGGAGCAGTGCCTTGACGCGATCGCTGCCATGTCCGAAAGATCCAAAGGTGACGTGTCGTCTCGCGTAAACAACAATGCAAATGCGACGCGTGTCGTTAAAAATTCATTACTTAGCGCCTCGGTAACCGGACTCAGCTACGAAGACTTTCCCAATAAGCCGCAACTGTTGCCCGCAGCACCGCCCGTGGTGCATGCCCCGGCGCCAGCACCCACACCAGTTCTCATCGCTGGCATTCTGAATCGCGGTAAGTGTGTCACAGCCATAGAGAGAGATGTGATGTGTGATGTTGGTGGTGCTCTGCTCCCTCCGGTCACTTGTTGCTTCCCATTGCCATTGCCTGATAAGAACCGGTACGGTACGATAAGGCGCTAGTTTTATAATGCTGCTAACATAACTTTCAAATGGCATTTTTATTTAATATATATATATTTTTTTTTTTTTGGCACAATAACGTAACAATAAACTCCCTCCCTCTGCGGCTACCTACTCCATGCTGCGCGTCGAGTGCGAGCGATAGGTGGGCAGCTCCAGCGACACCTTCCGTCTGCGGCAACACCACACAATGCCCCAAATAATTGCCACAATCAGCAGCAGCAGCAGTATGGCTCCCAAACAAATGGCAGCAATGGCGCCCTCGGTTAGGACCACATCTCGCACATCTATGTTGATGCTGCGCTGATTTCCAGACGCATCGTACGCAGTGATTGACACCTTTGGCTCGCAACAGGAGGCCATGTAGGTGGCCTTTAGGGGCTCTGTGGTGCCGGCAGTGTAGTAGTTTCTATAGAACAAACCCTCGGCTGGTGTTGTCTGCAGTCGCATTATGCCCGATTGCCAGTCCTGGGCCGTCAGATCCAATGTCCAGAAGCGCTCGCCGCAGCTCAAAGACTCGGGCGTCAAATAGTCGCAACGACTGCCAAACTCCCACGAGAGCGTGGGTCCAATTGTGTCCTGGAAAAGTTTTACATTAATTTATAAGGATTCTCTTGAAGGTGGGGAGGTTCTTTCACTTGCCTGAGCATCTATGCTGGACACAACCTTCAAGTTGACTGCCATTGTGGCTGTTTCACGGCCATAATTGGTGAATGTAATCCTATCCGTGGTGCCCTGTGCCGTGCCCGTCGGCACCAGCACCGTCAAACGCACTGTGCTCGTCTCCTGTGCTCTCAGATTTAGTCTGCATTCAGACAAAAAGTGTTCCATTAGTTGCTAAAGCTCCAAAGTTATTTCAGAGATCCAACCTACCTTGTGGGATTCAGATTTACCAGAAAGCGTCGCTCATCTGTGACTTGTATGGTCGAATAGACCGTCTCCGTTCGCATATTGGTCACCTCAAAGAGCAGCGTGGCCGTCTGACCAGCTGTCACCAGCAGCTGCGACTGCGTGCTCAGCTCAATCTTCGTGCCACAACGCTGTTGCAGCATGGCATTCAGCGTACTTCGCTGCTGACCCGTGGATGCGGCCAACAAGGTTTGATTCAGACTGGGACTGCTTTGAATTTCCGTTTCGGAGAAAGTTTCAATCTCATTTTTGGGCTCATCCGTGTCCTCCTCGAGCTTTTCTCTTTCCTTCTCGGGAAACTGGATTCTGGCCAGTCGCGGCGAGGGCTTGACTTGCCCATTCTTATAGTAGCTATCAATGCGTTTGATGATGTCGCCTGTAATGAATGCAGTGGTTGGTTAGATGCGCTGCTAGCACACGTGTTTGCGTCAATGGGCAGGCAGAGATGACGCTCAGATCGACTTCCTCTAGCTCACTCCAAGGTTGACACGGTTATCAGTACATTATTCTCCGTCCAAGTAGGTAGGCAGTGTTGCTGCTGATGCTGCTGATGCTGCTGATGCTGCTGTTATCTCCCGTGCCAGAGACAACAAACAATCATATAATTTCCTTTGCTGTGTGAGCGCTCAGTTTTATGCGAGAATCGATCTCGCCCGGTTGCCCATAAACCCAAACTTACCCAAAAATACGTCTGCTTTGCGTTCGGCGCGTATGAATACATTGTAGGGCTCGTCGCTGTTCAGCTCTGGATTTAGTTTCAGCTTGAAGATCGTGGCCTTGCGCAGCTTGTTCAGCGGTACGTACGCATCCAGTTCGTTCGAATTCGTTGTACCCGTGTCATTTGCTCCTCCGAATTTCACCAGTTTCCTTAGATTTATTTCTAAAAGTGTGTATAAACCAATTAAAATACAGTAAGACGTGCACAGCTGTTGCACAGGTGTTTGGTACGGCGTTGCCACATCGCCCCATTTCGTTTGTGTGTATTTAATTAAAGATTACGCGATTTCAATGAAACGTAACAATTTGTATGTATTTAATAATAACTCTAGTTTCGCTGGTGCTCTCCGGTGATAATAAATAATTATCAAGTGCCGGCTAAATATATTATTTTAATACTGCCAAAAGCCTTGGCAACCCTGCTCCGTGCTCCGTCTGTCACAGCAGCTGCGCGTTGGAATCTCTTGTGAAAGAAAAACACGTCCGCAAAAAAATATCCAACACAAAAACAATTGTTTTTCATTGTGAAACAAACAAATTATGAACAATTAAATGCCGCAAAAGTGTTAGCCAATAGACATTTCGTTTGACCACAAACTCCATTAGAGGCGACATGGACCGCAAGTCCTAAATATTTGTAGCTCCATTTCGTGTTAGTGTTTTTGGTCAGAGGCCACTTTTGAACTTGGCAATGAAATGGCCGTGATGTGGATTGTCTAATTTTTGTTGTAAGTCTCGTATGTATACATAAACACACACACACACACACACACAGATTTGTGTGTAATTTGTTTGGAAAAAAAATGGTGCAAATATGGCCGGGATTACAATTCGTGTGAGTGATTTTGTACGCAGTGAAAGGGTTACTTTTACTACAGAGAGGTGCCACAATTGTTTTGATATTGGGGCAGGCAATGAGCCACCCTACCACCCTTATTAATTGATTTCTTCAGAGCGGATCCGCACCGCTTCGAGTGCTTCCGGAAAGCTTTACCGATAACTCTATTAATAACCAAAAGTTTCTATTGCTAAAAATGTCGCATGTATGTATGTATATGTATATATTTTTGCGGCGATAAGCCGCCGTTTGGTCTCAGAACGTCCGAGCAATGAGCTCTTTGAGTCATAATTATTTTTTGTCTGGCCCCGCGGGTCTCCACAATCTTTATATGTATATACTGCTATATACATAATTGTAAAACTGAACTTTGTCCCTCAACTTCGACGTGGCGTATGATTAATCTGGCGGAGAATCGTAGTCGCTTGCCGGTAGATCCAATCGAAAGAAATTCCTCGTTGAACGGTTTGTGGGGTTAGTCAAGAACAACAATTTGTGCGGGACAGTTGATAGAGAAAGTGCTCTGACATTTTAAATAGAAGTGCATAGTTTAACATTAATAAACAGATACTTACCGTTTAAGGACGAAACACAAAAGGACAACAAAACAGTGCTGGGGGAATACATTAGAAGAGGCGTGTAAAAAGGCCCAAAAGAAAAGCTATATTGCTGGTTAATTTGGTAAATAACTTTTGGTTTTTTTTTAGTTTTCGTTTTTTTTTTTTTATTTTTGTGTACCCTTAAAATGCTAAAACATTTATTACTTTTTATTGTATAGATAAAACACAGTAAACACACATATATTGAAAATATTCTTTTGTACTACAGTTAAGTGTTATATTGTATTTTTTGAGCATTATACTAGCGTTTTGGTTAAGGAAAGCGTTGGGGTTTCGGCTATATACAAGGATCAGCAAAGCTGAACTGGGATTAGAATAGCGAATAGGTGGCTTTTTGGGGGGTTGTGTTAGTTAAAGAACTTAAACACTTAAGACATAAATTATAGATAAGTACAGTTGACATTCTGTCTCGTTTTACTACATTCTTTTTACTTCAAGAGAGTTTTTTTTGTTACTCCTGTTTAATCATGATTGAGTACCATCTATCTCATATGGTTAACATTGATGTACCGGGCTGGAAGGTGCTGCCTATCAGGCATTTAACATTATTTTCGACTTGCACAAACAGGTGGCAGCGCCAAAAATATTTTAAATTGGCGAAATAAATTATATATGTATGTATGGCTATATTTATATGTTATATGTTTTTAGGCAATGCAAATGTATTGCAAATTCTCGAAACCATGTCCAATGACAGTATGGATGCCTTCAGCAGACTGCAGAAGCAAAATAAGGAGCGCAATTCAGCAAATTCAAGAATTCATGAAATGTTCTTTGTATAAAGAGAGAAAATTTTTGTGTGCCACTAGTGAAAAGAAGTAGACTTAAAATCGAATTGTTGGAGGCTTGGCCCAGACTCCTACAAAATAATTATATGCTTCTAACAACTAAAATACGAGTACAACCCTGCGTTAGTATGTGTGTGGAAATAGCATTAGAGTTGGGTGTGTGCGCTATATAAGGTCTAATAAGAACTAACCACCATTTGGCGTCTCCAATGTGGCACGTCGCATATTCGCATCGATGCGTACATGCAGGCTGGATAGCGTCGTATCCACAGGCAGTTCCAGTTCCTGATCACCCCGATAGGCATCCGCCACTAGAGTAAGCTGCAAGACAGAAATAGAAACCAAGCGAAAAAAGAAGAAGAAAAAAAAAACAGATCAAGATTCATGAACATTTTTGGCATTTGTCTAAGTTTCCTTTCTATAAACAAATTTGCCCTTCACTTTTCTTTCCATAACCTAGTTTTGCCAGCAGCCAGCAACAAAAGATGCACCATCATCAACAACAAGTCTCGGGGTCTTGAGCACCACCTGCCACTGGCTGCCACTGCCACTGCCTCCCTGGCATGGCCTGGCCCGCCTGAAAGGTAATCCAAGTTGCTTCGGTCTCAGTTGGCTGCTTGGGCAACACTTTATACGAGTATATAGTATGCTGCTGTTGCTGCTGCTGCTGCTGCTGCTTTGGCTGCGGCTGCGGCTACTGCTACTGCTGTTGGATCTCGTCTCTTGTCGCCACTTTCAATTTTCAACACTTTTGGTAGGCCAGACGGAAGTCGCCTTCTCTTTCTCTCTGTGTTTTTTTGCACACCCCGCTTTAATTACCCCAATTACGGGTCAGGTTTTGGCCTTTTTATCATCGTGTTCATATCTTACCGTATTGCCCGCGATATGCTGACCATGCTCTGTGCTCACGATGTGAATGATTTCGCCACCAGAGCGAATAGCAACCTCACCCAGGATGCCACCAACAGCGTCCTCTGTTTCGTTCTCGATAGCTGATTGC